TTCGTGTATTTCTCTTTCAAGCCTCTTGGCACTTTCTCCCACACAGCTCCTGTGTTTGTAATATTGTCCCCAATATGCAACACAACAACACTTTCCTCCTTTAAGTTCCTTCTCAAAATTCACCTCTTTCTTTGGTCTCTACAGCAATGATTCTTGCCCCTTCACAGTCTTGGAATGTTACAGCCAAGATTATCAAAAGCAATTAGCAATGTTTGAGTGCCTAGCATAAACTGGTCTGATGGTTGGAGGCAGGGTGCTCAGCATCACTGCAAGCATATCTGTGCCACTCTGACCCTTGCCTCTACTAATGTTCTGATGGTAGTCCATTGTGTGCAGATAGAAACCTTGGCTAGGACTGCCAACAGAACTGTACATTTGTGATGATGGGCTTTGTGGTATGTGCACCTGGAGACTAACAACTAGGTTAAGACACCAACTCGTTTCTTCGCTGATCTGAGATGAATTTGAGCTAGTGGTTTAGAGTTGAAAGTTTCCATGTCCTATTACCAATCATTATGATTCTAGCATTTGAGTGTAAAGTATCTGGCACATAGTTGCCCGAGAGAGATGAAAGACCAGGGGGAAAGAAGTCTAAGAGATGCCAGAGGAATAAGTCCTGAGTCATTACGGCACAACAGGAAAGAAGTGAAAATAAAGCTTTCTTATAAAGATAAAAAGCCAGCCAGCCACAGATGGAAAAGTAAGTGTTCCAGGTGGGGTAAAAGTGAAACAAATCATTTCTTTTTGCCAGGACAAAAATTGCTGTTGCATGCAATTCCAACAACTCAAATTAAAAAATTTAAGTTAATAAAATTAGACATAACTGACTGAAAAGCCCCATTACTGCACACTGGCCATCTCCCGGCCAGTGCAGGATTTATTTCCTTCAGTTTATTATCTTTGTACGTTGCTGAGTTTAAATGATACGAGTGTCTGAGCTTTCTACCACTTTTCCAGCTATATTCTTCCTTAGTCAAGCAGGCTTGAAAAATCCTAACAAATAATGTTATTAACGTATAAAATTATATTTCTGACATTATTGGAATTGGGGGGTTGGAGGAAATTTCAGGATAAGTGTTGAGTAACACAAAATCTTGTTAAATCTGCTGGAAAGGATACAGCATTGTACAAGTGTGCTCTATACTATACATTAATGTAGGGAAATAGTGGTTTGTTGGCATTCATTGATTTACTGGTGTTTCACGTATTTGTGATGTTTTGCTGTTGACAGTTACATCTCTATTCTGAACTGCAGGGAGGGAAAGGAAAATGTTTTTTTTTCCTACCTTGTGCTCGATTAATCATTTTCTGTATTAACAATTTTTGACTTCCTCCTCTGGTTAGAAATATACCAAACCCCCTGTGCAGAGTGGACAGATTGCTTCCTTTTTACTTGACTGCACCTGTATTTTGACTGCATGCCCTACAGGGATGTTGAGAGTTCTGAGAACAGGAAAAATGAAGAAAATTGTTCACTGACCTGATTTACACCAATAAAAAAATAAAACAGATGCATTAAAAATATGTGAAGCTCTTTAATGTTGTACTTCTAATTACCTTCCTTATGTGGTGTTCTTCAATATTACCATCCTTAACAATAAAGAATATAATATGGAGATAGGTAGGTAGGTCGGTCATTAAATATACTAATACCTAGATTTACTTCTACTTTTACAGTTTATACCAAGTTCTACATACATTACAATAATTTAAACAAGAATTAATTACATCATTTAAAAAGTATAATTCAATGAATTATAATTTGTCCATGAGAAAAGGACACTTCCTTGGCCCTAACCACAAAACAATTAAGATTTGTTTATTAACCTACCTCTGCTCAAAAGACCTGCATAATTAGATGAATCTAAGCAGTGTGCCAGAAGGTTTAAAAAATAGCCTTGTCTGTGTTGCACCAAAGGGAAAACTGTGAGTTGCAGAAGAAAAAGCCCTTTAGGTATAATGCTCTGCTAGCAGCCCCCTTTCTTCCGAATGAAGTGGGATCCTGTACGGATGCCTCTCTTGGTCAGGGATGGTAGAATGGAGCATTGAGAGATGAGGTCTCTTGAGAATGCAGCTCTCAAAGTAGTTAGGTTGCTATAGGTTAAAGCTAATGACCCAAGATTTTCAAAAGTGACTACTGTTTTTGTTTGCCTCTGTTTTGGGTGCCCAGCTTGACTCACCATATTTTCAGGAGGTGATCAGCAGCCAGCCCTGAAAATTAGACTCTTTAAAGGGTCTGTCTACACTTCAATTAAAGACCCACAGTTGGTCCATGTTAGCTGACTCAGGCTTCTGGGGCTCAGCCATGGGGCTGTGTAGATGTTCAGGCTCGAGCTGGATTCCAGGCTCTGGGATCCTGCGCTGGGAGAAGGTCCCAGAGCCCAGACTCCACCCTGAGCCAGAATGTCCACACCACAGCCTCACAGCTTATGACCCACAAGCCCACATCAGTTGACACAGGCCATCTGCTGGTGTTTAGTTGAATGTAGACAGGCCCTAAGAGGTCTCAAGTTGGGCATGAAAAAAATGGAGGTGTCCAAAATTGCTAGACAGTTCTGAAGATTTTGGCTAGGTCCTTTTTAATTCCACTGAGAACTGAACTGGTAGCTAACGCAGGTCCTGGAACATTGATATTATGGGGTTTTTGTTTGATTTGGGTGATGTTCTTAATAACATTGAAATTCCACAGTATGGCCTATTTCTTTGCTAGACAATGCTACAGTCCAGGAATTTTAGACCTTAAATGGAATGTGGGCGTTACACTGAGTCACGACGATTGAATCTGTCTTTATTAGATATCCAAGTCCTTGGTACTGTCTAAAAGAGTGGCGTGCACATTATGCCTCTGTAGATAATACTTTGCAAAGCTGTGAATAATGTGAATAAGCCAAAAGTCCGCTTTTTTCTTTCTCAGGAAAATCAAAGCAACGCTATCATTTTCCTTCCTAATAAAATAATAATAACTGCTATTATTTCCTTAAAAGGAGGAATTTTAAGTGGCCTGCTGAGTAAATAATTGTTTTTGAGACTTGCTTCCTACAGTGTTCAGAACAGCCTGGTTACAGGAGCCTTTATAATGCAATTGATTCTCTGTAGCAGAAATAATTCCAAGGTGTCAAACATTTAAATATATGTTATGAAGCCAACCCCCAGGACATGTTCTTGGAGATTTTAATAAAAATATCAGCAATTTATAGCACACCCATAGGACGACTTCAAAATTAAGGGTTCTTTGAAAAGTGACTAATGCTTCTGGAAATGTTTTGTGCATGAATGCAGTAGAAAGCTCTTATTGTTCACAGTGAAAAGTTAATGCAGTAAATCCTCACACATTGTTATTGCATCAAGGTGGTTTAGGTTTTTTGTTTTTTGGCTGATGCATGTTAATGAGGTATAAACACTGACATAAGGAAAGTGGTGTGAATTAGATTCCCAGTTTTCTATGTATGGGAACTGGGAAAATACTAACTGCTTTGGGTAATTCTTTCCAACCATTTAATACACCAAGGAGTTGAATCCTTGGCTGTAATCTGTCTACATAAAGAAGTTGTTTATTGTTTTAGGAAGGGTAAAATCTTTCAGCCCCAAATGTATGTTCTTTCTTGGCTTATAATAATTGCACCTTTCTGCTTTTTCTCATTACTTTTCAGTCTGTTTCATCTTCAGAAACAAAGTCTCTTGATCTCATTGCTACTTGCATTTGTTAGGTGGGATTTTCACCCATTTGCTTGGTCTAACACCGCTCTTTTTAAAGTCCATGGTAAAACTCCCATTAACCTTCATGGAACTGAGTTAGGCTAGTGCTTTGGAAAATCCCTCCTTTGTTCTGGATATTGTGGTGATAGGTGCTAGAGAGATACCATAGGTACATTGGATGCATAGATCTCTGTTACAATCAATGTTAAATAGTTCTGTGTGAATTCCAGACTTCCTCCTAAGTTTTTTCTCTTCTTTAATGTAAAGAATCTGTATTGTATTGTAACATAAACAAAGAGAAGGGGAGGAGGGAGAATGTATTGGCACACAAATACAGATGCTATGTAACTAAAAGCGTTTATATGCTGTACATAAAATGACCTCTTATTTATTTTAATTTAAATAAATGTTCATTTAATTCAGACATTAAGGCTCTTTCCTGTGAAATCAGGGGGCAATTGCCTCTAGTGCCTCCACTGATCAAAATTACTGCACTATCACAGAGCTGGAGAGGTGGGATTTTCAGGTCACTAAAGTTCCAAATCATTTGGGACTCGATGGGAGCGAGATGAGTCTCTTAAAAGGTTACCTTCTTGAGGCAAGGACCCTGTCGTCTTATTTATCAGTCAAGCTCCATGTAAGTCTTTGTAGCTGTAGGTGAAATTAATTCTCCCTTCCTATATATCTTTGCCTCCACAACTGTTTCTTTTTAAATCACATCTTTAAATGTCCCACTTCTCCCTTTCCTATGCATTGTAATGTAGTTTTCCCCTCTGCTTTTGGTCTTCCGACTAAAACCTTGCCTATGCTACCAAAAATTGCCATTCTGATGATGAGTGTCAACAGGTGCTCAACTGGTTGGCTACATGGGTAGTCAGGACCAAATGAGGTGTTTAGCACCACTTGTGAAATCCTGGTTAAAATTTCCTTCAGTTTACATCCTCCGTTGTCTTTTGTATTTTTTTGACTTGGTAAAGTATTTTGGAGATAGAATTTGTATGAAAGATGCAAAATAAAAGAAAGTGACTGATCTTGCAAGATGCTGAATGGCCTCGACGGCCATTGCCTTTGGCTGGAGTCGAGCAAGCTCAGCAGCTTGCAGGACTGGGCCCCAAAATTGCATTCCATTGTAGTGATGGTGGTAAGCTAGGCCACGCTCAATAAAAAGGGAGCAAAATAGCTACACTAAAGAGGTGAAAAACATTGTGTGTTTTTAAATGTATTCAACTTTTGCGAAACTCACCTGTTTTTTAAAATAAAGCATATTAGGTTTCTTACTAAGGTATCCGATTGTCCATTTGCAGCATTCCAGACCTTCCTTGGGAAAGATGATGTGTCTCATGAATTAGAAGAGAGTGAAGCACAGAGAAATGTTAAATTAGAGTCTGTCCTTCAACTTCTGAGAAACCGCTCTGTACACTGGCAGATCATTACTGTGATCATCACCATGGCCTGCTACCAGCTCTGTGGGCTAAATGCTGTAAGTATTCCTTTTCAGTATCCAGCCTGCTAATGGGTCACATCTTTTGTTAATCAGTATTTATATGTTCTCATACTTGACTATTTTCATAATTTATCATTTCTCTGCTATTCCTCGTGATGGTGTCCCTAACCTCTGTTTGCCAGAAGCTGGAAATGGACGACGGGGGTGGATCACTTGAAGATTACCTGTTCTGTTCATTCCCTCTGGCACACCTGACATTGTGTATGCATTGTTCTCTCTCTCTCACACACTTTCCCTGCTCCTTCCCCCTTCTCCCCCCTCATTCATAGTGGCAATTCACAGTCATTCACATTCACAATTTTTGGGTTTGGTTCAACCCGACCCAATTTTTTTTAACTGCCAGTGAACTGAAAAATCAGTTATTTGCCCAGCTCTAATTGGGGTCTCCTGGGGGTAACATTTTCACAAGTGACTTAGGCATTTAGAGGCCTAAGTCCCTTTGATTTTCAGTAAGACTCATGCTCTTAGGAGCATAAGTCCCAGTTTGCAAAAGTGAGCCTTTAAGGGTCTATCTACACTACAGCTGGGAGCAAGGCACCTGCCCAGATAGATAGACTCATATTAGCAGGACTCATGCTAGAGTGCAAAAAATAGTGGTTTGGCTCTTGCAGCCCTGGCATAGGCTCAGGATAGCCACCTGAGCTAGGATTCAAGGGGCAGGATGGGCATGTGCACAAATGCCTTGTCCAAGCCTCCCTTAGTGCTGCAACGTCAACGTTGCTGTATTTAGCACGGTAGCGCAAGTCTGTCTACCCAGACTGGGAGGCTCACTCCTAGCTGCAGTGTGGACATACCTTAAAAGTCACGTAGGCACTTTTGAAAATGTTACCTAAAGTGATTTGTCTAAGATCGTACTGCAGAATAATGAATTGGAAATGTAACCCAGGTAACAGAAAAACTTTTCAACACATACGAGAAAGAAGTCTAAAAGATTTTCTTCAATTTTTAGGATACACTAGAAAAAACCTAGCACGGTAGGTATTGTTTTCTTCTAACTGCAAGATTTCAGTGCTGATGACAGGATTTTTTGTTCCTTGTTGTGGATATTTTGAGATGAAATGAAATGGAATTATCTTGTCACGCATTCTTTGTTACAGTTTATCAACTCAATTTATAAATGAAATAAATGACACCTACAGTAAGTAACACAGACTAATAAAGTTATGTGCTTGCATTGTTTAAAAAATCCCATAGATATATTTTCAGGGATATAAGGAGAAATGTGTGACTTTTGGCATATTTGAAAGACCAAAATTGACCAGCTCCAATGAAATATGACATGCTTTAAGAGCAAAATACCATATCTTTCCTGGTGGGGTATAATTTTTTTAAAACTATTGTACATGTTCCAAAACTAATGCAGCATTTATTTTAGGTAGGCACATTTTGAAATCAAGCTCCATATAGAAATATCAATTGACAGTGCCCTGTAATCGTAGGAATTAGGTATTTTTATCTCATTTTTTGTTTTGTTTCTTTTTCCATATAATTCTGCCAATTATGTAAAATTTGTTACACAAGTTGAGTTTTGAATTACGATTTGAAACTGATTTTCTAGTTAAATTATTATTATTGTAAAACCTTCTGAGATGCCTGCAAGAAAGGTGCTGTGTAATAGAAATTGGCTAAAGTACATACTGAATCACTGTTTCACTTTTCTTTGTTATGCCACTAAGAACTTAAGACATTCTAAGAAGAGGGTGAGGTACCTGGACATACCTGCTGCTGCTTTTCTTTGGTTGATGTCAATTTTATAGCCCTCTCTACTCTTTTCCTGCAAAATCAAATCATAGCCAAATTCAGCTCTGTGATATATTTACTGGGCTCCCATTGAGGTAAATGGAAATCATGCACATGTTCAGTGACAGTGTTGCCCCAGCTGTTTTTTTTAACTTAATTACACTATTTGCATCAATCATATTTCACAGTAACTTATCCAGTATGTTCATTTCTCACTTGGGAAATATGTCTCCTTGAATTCCTTATTTAAGACTAAATTCAGGAAGGTATTTAAGCACAGTCCTAAATTTAAGTGGATGCATACTTCCATCGATTACTTAAAGTTAGGAATATGGTTAAATACTTTGCTAAATCAGGACCGTGCTTCTGTACATGTGCATACCTGAGCTTTGAATTCTTCACCAGTATAAACATCCACTGTAATCTTGAAAACATAATCAGAGACTTAGTTTGAGGAATGCTAAGCATTTCTGAAAAAATCTCTTGGTACACAGAAAGTGTCCTCACACCTAGGCATATGTTGGAATCCCGTTATCTCGTGGAAATTGCCATTTTAATGTCTATTGGAATCTACAGATTATTCATCATATAGGAGGGCACAAAGAACAAGCAGGTTCTTTCTTCCCTATAGGATCTAAAAGTAGAACAGTGCAAGTATATGATGTCTTGCATGGTGTATACTGTTTTCTCAGATTGGGCCTGATCCAAACCCCACCGAAGCCAGTGCAAATAACTCCAGTTGATTTCAGTGGATTTTGGATTAGGCCCCCAGTTGGGACAATGGGACTGAGAGAGAAAGATGCTACTGTCCTTTGGGCAGGAAAATAAGATTGTGCGCATGCAGGCACCCACCCTCTCCTGGTGCAGGTTTCTTGAGATAACGTTGTTTTAATTTTGAGAGAGAATTAAAAAATAAGTATAGCCTTTTGTTTCTCAACCATGCAACCATTATTCTTACAGACTTGACATAACTTCCATAGGAATCCCACTGAAATCAGTGGGACTATGTGGCAATCAGGATTTGGCCCATGAGCAAGTATTTTGCCTACTCAGTCGCAAGCACTCAATAAATCCATTCTCACACAGACACAGTATTTTAAGTGGATTAACATTTTTCTCTGATTTCAACTGGGAGTTCTTTACAATGTGAAAATCCTTCATAATATTAAACTCTAAGATCCAGCTGGCCTGTGGTGGCCTACTAGCCAGGCAGGGCTTGCCATATGTCTTGCCCAGATGGGTGTGTCAGAAAAAAGATTGGACTGATCCTTCCACATTTATCCAAGAGCTTCAGATCATTCCCAGGGGAGATTACCAAGTGGCTGCCTTCTGTAATTGTCCAGCTGGTATCTTGAGGAGTATATCTAGCAATTATTCCCTTCTAAGGCTTTATCTTGTAATAAAAAATCTCACCATTTAATTCCACCAAGTACATTATTTTCTAGATGCACCAGAAACTATAATGAAGACATTGATGATCATACTACTAGATGTAATTATGGTGAATCATTAAACAATCAATCACAGTATTCAAAAGAAAGCTGTATTAGTTCTACTGGTTAATAAAAAGTTGTATATGATAAATCTATATACCATGGACAAGGAATTAACTTCAAAATATAAATTAATAATAAAGTATCTCAGCCCTAAAGTACACACAAAACTAAATGAAGTGAATATAATTTCTCATCACTGGTGAATTTGATCTGTTCCTTTTCTCTCCTGCTTCATATTTAATATAATTAATTTCAAACTGCTTAACATACACCATGTGCAACTTTAAGATAGAATTTTGAGGGATAAAAAGTTTCTGATAGACAATCAACAAAGATTAACTTTATTTTGTAAATTATGTTTAAGGGCAAAGATGCTGAAATATTTTATCCAGATTACTAAAATAAATCATTGGCACTGGTTATTCTTCTCTCAAACAGTTATTCCTTGGCATGTGAATTGCACAGGGACATGAATGCTCCCTTTGTTCTTTGTTTCTGCCATGTCTAGTTGAGCTGAACCATTTTTTAATAGAATCATATTGTCCACGGGTCAGAATTGGGTGAACAAGATGGTAATACTCTTCTAAGCTCCACCCACACAAGGCACCAAGTCAGAATGTGGTGTCACATACTCTCTGGGCTGCTTGAGTTCAGACACCCTCACTAGGATCCCTTAAGACCCAGGTGCTTTGGTGGACTTCTCAGGTTTGACTTCCCCTCAGTGAGGTTCATATGCCCCACTGGGCTTATTAAACTTAGCTTCCCTTTGAAGAGGCTTTGGTCGTCTGCTGGCATCTTGTTTGGAGTGGGAGGATTGTCAATCTCTCCCAAGCCCATTCACTCAACATGCCAAGATGTTGTTTATGGCTTTCATTTTCAATATGGCAGGTGACGGGCTTTATTTTAGAGACTTCACATCCTTCTAGCAATCCGTTATTTTTCTCCTTCTCTGGTAATCAAATACATCCCTTCTCTCTGTCCGCCAGATGTTTCTGCTTTACGGTAGAACCGCTAATCACATTGCATGTTTTGGCATCTGATTTTCTTTGTCTCATTTCCTTCTGTCCAAGAATCTCAGATTTCAAATAAATGTTTACAGTTTTCACTTCTCTGAAGAGTAGCTGATGCTTTGGTATTGCCCAGACACATTATTTTAAAGCACAAGCACATTACATGGTGTACGACCGTCTAGGTAGAAAGCAGTCCTTATTAACTGTAGAAAATACAAATCAGCTTCATCCAGCCCTTCCCAAAAATCTATTGGCCTGTAGAGGTTTTAGAATGTGCCATATTTCTGTGCTGTCATTTACTTGCCAAGGGCCATATTCATCAAGATACTGAATGCCTTTGATTGACTTGTGGGCCACTTGCGGGCACTCAGTGTAACCCACTGGTGAATGTGTGTTAAAGTCCCACTCTGTGCCAGTCCATAGGGGAGATGAGTTGATACAGCCCCGAACTAGAGAGGCCAAGTTGTAGTAGCTCAGGCTTGTAGTTCTGGGGGTCCTCCAGTTCAGTGTGCGAAGTGTTGGCCAAGATGTCAGCCATCACATCAGTACCTTGCTGGGTTGGGCCCTAGGTATTCTGTACTGCCGTGCATCTTGTGTAGCCATTTGCACTTGTGCAGAGTGGGTGTAAGATACTAGTTTAGTGACTTGGTTGTGTTTTACTCCCCCTTTTCAGTCTATTATGCACAGGTGTAAATATTACAGGTCACCTCACAAGGCGTAAGGCAGTACAGAATTAGACCCAATATTGTATTTCAGCTTTTATAATTTGCCTTTTAGGTTTTATCCATTTTTTGCTCAAAGTTCTTGATTTGTGAGTGAAGAAACAAAAAATTATACATCAATCATGTGCCCCAATTTAAGATTTATAGTCACTTCAACACTTTCAGGCAGCTCATCGTGCAATATTATTTGGCTTTTTTTAAAATCTTCTATTTATATATTCAAATTAAATGTTCAAGTCCTCTTTTTCAAACTATGACAGCTAATGAAGCATTTATTTTGTATTTTAATATAGATCTGGTACTACACAAATAGCATCTTCAGGGAAGCTGGGATAAGTCCTAAACTGATCCCTTATGTTACCTTGAGCACCAGCACTGTTGAGATTTTGTCTGCTGTTTCTTCCGTAAGTTGAGTGATAAATTGGATATGTGTACATTTGATGATAAATAACCCCCTTAAAATTACTTATTTAATATTATGTTACTGATGTATTATTTCTTTATTCATGTTTAAAAACTTTATCAGCAGTCATATATTGATGATTAAGTTCAACAGCTTGAAAATACCATTTGTTGAGTCCAATTCTAGACCTACTTTCCATGACTCTGTAGGGTGTATATACCCCAGAATGACATTTAAACTATATAGCAACAGCTTTAGTATCAGATTTATCCAGATAGTGAGTTGTGAAACTGCTCCATGTAAATGAACAGAAAGAAGAGCATGGAGAAGTTTATCCTCAAGATCCCAATTCAGGGTTGGGCTAGGTAAAAAAGGTAAGTCATTTTGGACTTCAGAAAGCCGTCAAAAAGTGGTGATGTGACAATTATTCCATAGTGATTAATGAGTATCAAGCAAAATTTTTCACCTTGCATGGCGTACGTGTAAATGTTTGTTTATACACCAGCCATTCATTTTACACAGTGATGGGAAGATAAGGAAAACAACCACAATGATGTGGAGGATCCAAAGTTCCATGTTTTCACTTCTGGCTCCTTCAGTGGTAGCGAATACAAAGCTCTTTAGCACCAGAATCTATAGTGTGCCGTGAATGTATACTGAATTCAAATGCAAAAAATCCCCATAAACTTTTGATGGAGAAGTAGTAGCCACATACATTTTCATTACTCCCCACCCTCACCAGCAAACTTGATTAGACAACATGATACGCTATTGTGACAAAATAAAACCGAAGGAACTTTCAGTAGTTGAATAAATTGCTCACTGTTAGTGTAAGCTTATTTTTGTTTGCACTGTTATAATTAAAACATTTAAATGTTTTTGGAATGTGACATTGCAAATCAACAGATTAACTGCAAAGGTAAATTTCATACTTTTTAATTAAAGCTTTATCTGCATATATTCTAATACTATTAAAACAATATTACATAATCATGTTGGGATTTAAAGCATTTTTAAATGTCAGAGAAACAATCTTGGCAAAAAATCCATCCTAGTAGGATAACAGGTGTTTTGTGGCCCCTTAAATGTTATACTAAAATCAAGCTATCAACATTATTTCCATATTGTACGGGACATAAGGAGATCTTAAATGTCACAAAGGCCTTCTCCTGATCTTTGTACCTTTCCACACATCTATATTTAGATTTGTGATGATCTCAGTTTAGATACATAGCCACTCTTTTAAATAAATGGGACATTATTTTAATATTTCTTTGTTTAAGATAAACACAAAAAATGATTTGGCAGATATTTTTATATGGGGAGGATGCTGACCTTTTGTTTTCTGGCACTGAAAATTACACGGAGAAGGTTTGATGATATAAAAGCCATTCTATAAAGAGGGTCTGTTGTCTTTTCAGTGGGTTCCATACAGTCAGTTTTTAGGGCATGTTCAGAATACATTCTTATATCTAACAAGAAATGTCTAAGTTAGTTCCCGGTATCTGTGATTTCTTCAGTAAGTTTCTCATGCCCACAAGGTTATTTTTAATTCCCTTCTTTTATATGCAGTCTGCTTGCTGTGCCTCTGGAAATACTGATGTATGGAAATCTCTAACTTTTCAAACATGCTCTTTTGAGATACACTGAAACATTGCTTTATAGACTTAGTTTTATTTCAAGAATCCTCTGGCACATTTTATTGTTCCTGTTCCAAGGGACACCAACTTGAATTTTACATTGCCATTTGAAAATGTTATACCTTCTCTTGTTCCAAGTAACTCCTAAGCCTATTATAGTTGGAAGAGATTGAAGGGGGTATGTTTTTCTTTTCTTTTCTTTTTCCCCAAGTTTGTTTCTTTTATGCATTTGCCAGCATTTTATGTATGGTCAGTTTCACTGTTTTGTTGATGACAAACTGCACCACTCTCCTGCACTGCTCTGGGTGGGAGTTCATAAGCACACTCTTTCACAGGAATCTGCAATTAGGTGTTTACAAATAGCAACAAAATGAAACTGAAACCAGGTCACCATCAGGAATAGAACCCACCGCACAGGTCCCTACCAAGTGAGTTAATGAATTACAGTACCTCCATTGTCAGATAGCAACAGTAGACTTTTATCCTCTTTGTGGACTAGTCATTAAAAGATCCATGATGCAATTACAGTAGGTTATACAGGCAGCGCACTGTTGTATAAAAAGACAGCAGAGCATTTGGTAGTAGTGTTTTGGGTCTACCCAACAGACGGGAGAGAAGAAAAACCATAATATTTATTTTTTGATAAAGAATCTAAAAAACATTCAATTCACAATATATCCTTAATACAGGAACATAAAATTCAAATAGAAAGTGTCCCTTTAAGTTACCTTCTGGGAATAATAGCCCAGTAATAATAGGTTGATGTGATCCTTGAGGAAAAACAAACATACAATGATTATAATTAAGGCTAAGATTTTGTCATGGATATTTTTAGTAAAAGTTACGGACATAGAATCATAGAATATCAGGGTTGGAAGGGACACCAGAAGGTCATCTAGTCCAACCCCCTGCTCGAAGCAGGACCAATTCCCAGTTAAATCATCCCAGCCAGGGCTTTGTCAAGCCTGACCTTAAAAACCTCTAAGGAAGGAGATTCTACCACCTCCCTAGGTAACGCATTCCAGTGTTTCACCACTCTCATAGTGAAAAAGTTTTTCCTAATATCCAATCTAAACCTCCCCCCCTGCAACTTGAGACCATTACTCCTCGTTCTGTCATCTGCTACCATTGAGAACAGTCTAGAGCCATCCTCTTTGGAACCCCCTTTCAGGTAGTTGAAAGCAGCTATCAAATCCCCCCTCATTCTTCTCTTCTGCAGGCTAAACAATCCCAGCTCTCTCAGCCTCTCCTCATAACTCATGTGTTCTAGACCCCTAATCATTTTTGTTGCCCTTCGCTGGACTCTCTCCAATTTATCCACATCCTTCTTGTAGTGTGGGGCCCAAAACTGGACACAGTACTCCAGATGAGGCCTCACCAATGTCGAATAGAGGGGAACGATCACGTCCCTCGATCTGCTCTCTATGCCCCTACTTATACATCCCAAAATGCCATTGGCCTTCTTGGCAACAAGGGCACACTGCTGACTCATATCCAGCTTCTCATCTACTGTCACCCCTAGGTCCTTTTCCGCAGAACTGCTGCCTAGCCATTCGGCCCCTAGTCTGTAGCGGTGCATTGGGTTCTTCCGTCCTAAGTGCAGGACCCTGCACTTATCCTTATTGAACCTCATCAGATTTCTTTTGGCCCAATCCTCCAATTTGTCTAGGTCCTTCTGTATCCTATCCCTCCCCTCCAGTGTATCTATCACTCCTCCCAGTTTAGTATCATCCGCAAATTTGCTGAGAGTGCAATCTATACCATCCTCCAGATCATTTATGAAGATATTGAACAAAACCGGCCCCAGGACCGACCCCTGGGGCACTCCACTTGACACCAGCTGCCAACTAGACATGGAGCCATTGATCACTACCCGTTGAGCCCGACAATCTAGCCAGCTTTCTACCCACCTTATAGTGCATTCATCCAGCCCATACTTCCTTAACTTGCTGACAAGAATACTGTGGGAGACCGTGTCAAAAGCTTTGCTAAAGTCAAGAAACAATACATCCACTGCTTTCCCTTCATCCACAGAACCAGTAATCTCATCATAAAAGGCGATTAGATTAGTCAGGCATGACCTTCCCTTGGTGAATCCATGCTGGCTTTTCCTGATCACTTTCCTCTCATGCAAGTGCTTCAGGATTGATTCTTTGAGGACCTGCTCCATGATTTTTCCGGGGACTGAGGTGAGGCTGACTGGCCTGTAGTTCCCAGGATCCTCCTTCTTCCCTTTTTTAAAGATTGGCACTACATTAGCCTTTTTCCAGTCATCCAGGACTTCCCCCGTTCGCCACGAGTTTTCAAAGATAATGGCCAATGGCTCTGCAATCACAGCCGCCAATTCCTTCAGCACTCTCGGATGCAACTCGTCCGGCCCCATGGACTTGTGCACATCCAGCTTTTCTAAATAGTCCCTAACCACCTGTATCTCCACAGAGGGCTGGCCATCTCTTCCCCATTTTGTGATGCCCAGCGCAGCAGTCTGGGAGCTGACCTTGTTAGTGAAGACAGAGGCAAAAAAAGCATTGAGTACATTAGCTTTTTCCACATCCTCTGTCACTAGGTTGCCTCCCTCATTCTGTAAGGGGCCCACACTTTCCTTGGCTTTCTTCTTGTTGCCAACATACCTGAAGAAACCCTTCTTGTTACTCTTGACATCTCTGGCTAGCTGCAGCTCCAGGTGCGATTTGGCCCTCCTGATATCATTCCTACATGCCTGAGCAATATTTTTATACTCTTCCCTGGTCATATGTCCAACCTTCCACTTCTTGTAAGCTTCTTTTTTATGTTTAAGATCCGCTAGGATTTCATCATTAAGCCAAGCTGGTCGCCTGCCATATTTACTATTCTTTCGACTCATTGGGATGGTTTGTCCCTGTAACCTCAACAGGGATTCCTTGAAATACAGCCAGCTCTCCTGGACTCCTTTCCCCTTTATGTTAGTCCCCCAGGGGATCCTGGCCATCCGTTCCCTGAGGGAGTCAAAGTCTGCTTTCCTGAAGTCCAGGGTCCGTATCCTGCTGCTTACCTTTCTTCCCTGTGTCAGGATCCTGAACTCAACCAACTCATGGTCACTGCCTCCCAGATTCCCATCCACTTTTGCTTCCCCACTAATTCTACCCGGTTTGTGAGCATGGTCATGGGCAATAAAGAAAACTTCACTGGAGCCCATGACCTGTTCCTGACTTTTGCTAAAAAATATCCATGATAAAATTGGAAGGGACTCGGAGCTCTGAGGCCCTCACCACCCATGGGGGCTCAGAGATCCAGGGTCCCTCTGCTCCTTCCCCTCCCCCCCCGTGGCAGAGGGGAGCTGCAGGGTCCCCCTCCCCATAGTCTGCCGCCACCACCGCAGTGG